ACAAAGGGACCAAAACTTTAGAAGATTTGCATGTGCACTCATATCTATGTTACCTTAATTCTGATGACAGCTTCTGTTTGTTAGGATCTGGTGCCAGAAATATGCATGTCAGCATCTGGACTTCTCCCTGGAATAAGTAAGCTATACCAAATGAGTGTAGCAGCAAGGCTATGACACTAAGACAGCTTGGACAGAGCAAACAAACAAAAAAATGTTTTCAAGTGAAATTCTTAAGTTCTTTGATTGTTTGCCCATTAGCGATCTATGTAACAAAAGATCAGAGGGGAGCTAGTGTCATGTGGCTTTAAATAATTTAGAAGCAGAAGCAATTGCTGGAGACTGCTTGAGGGAAATAAATAAATAAGTCAGAGAAGCATCTGGCTCAATCTGTCTGCTAAAAACAACCAAAGAATAATGGGAAAAGAACCTTTTTTTACCAAGTGTCTAGAAGAACATTTGCCCTGAAGATGCATGAGGTGAGAATTTTTTGCAGACTTTTCTTTGACAGCTGAAGCTATCAGACTACTTACATCCTTTAACTAAAGGATCTAAGTGTGTAGCCAAGGGGGAAAATGGATCAGTAATGTCAGATGACATAGAAAACAGGAAGTGCTGTGCTGTAAAATTAGTGCTACAGTGATGGCAATTTAGCAGGTTTGTTTACATGTTGATATTGCTGATTGAGCAGGGATGGGTGTTACAGGCCTCTCCCTCTCCCTCTCCCTCTCCCTCTCCCCTCAAAGAAGAGTTTAAGAGGAGGGTGTCTGTACTGCGCTGTCTGAACAGAGTAGTTCTACACCAGAATAACCTTGCTGACTTCAAGGGGCCAGCCGTTTTAACACAGATCCAAATCTGAGCCCACAATTTTAAAGAAAAGCCATACAAATGAGAGTTTCTCTATCTGCAAATACAATCCAGTGCAACCTTGTTCTGAAGTGGGCGGTGCTGCTCTCTCTTCAACTGTAGCAATGTAGGGTAGGAAAAAGCTTTACAGAAATGACCCTGCTTGAAGTGTGACATAGAGTTATAGAAGCAGTTATGGAGCTCAGTGGACAAAAGTTCAGACTGACTTTGCTCCGTTTAGGAAGAGGCATTGGCATGTAAGAATAATTCTGTAGATGACCGTAGGGCCCTGCTTCTTTGTCTAGCAGAAGGCATTAATTAAAGCAAATGGTTACCCATATCCCTAAATATTTTTTTAAATTATTTTTAAATCTGTAGATATGCAGATATAAAGCTTCATATTTAGGTTCTGGAAGTTGAAATTAATACTAATTGGTTGCTCCTTCTCCTGAAATTGCAGCTAATGGCTATTAACCTTGATTCAGATGAAAAAGAAGGCAAGGCAAAGTCAGACATGAATTGGGAAATGTGTTTGACAGTAAAAAAAAAATCCCATGTGGTCTGAACAGTGTTTTATAAAGCTGAGAGAATATTTCTCAAGATGTCATCTTCAAATACTACTATTTTGACTCTCCTGAAGATCTCCCTGGAATCCCTGTTATTTACTCCCATGCACAGAAAACAGTCCTTAATGGTTGATTCTTTCCAGCCCCTTTCTAAGAACATTCTGCCTTATCAGTAACACTTTCTGCACTGTCAAGAAATCAGTTTCAGGCAGCAGACAGCTCTGAAATATCCCAGGTCCTAATCTAAATGTTGAACATTATCCCAGAGCATACTGGTCTGGGTTTGCTGGTCGAAACAAAAGCAGTCATTCCGAGACACAGATTTGTTGATGTAGGCCCAACTAACATTTAAAGAAAGAGCTGTAAAAATAGTTGGAAAATGTTTTTCATGTGTCTGCGGCAGCAGTCACCTGCTATGAGGAGGGCCCTATTTGAATACTACATTTTAAGAATGTTTTCATGGCTAATTAAGACAATTAGGCTTACATGAATGGTCTAGAAGCAGGTGCTGGTAGACACTTTGAGGAGTTGTATTTTGTAGTCTCTAACTGCATTGCACTTTGCACTTTCAGGTGGATGCCTGACACTCGAATAGCACTGGAATCTGCTTGGGGCACTTTGCTACCATTGCCTTTCTGTTCCCAGACAATTGTCTTTTAAAATGTAGCTGGAAAGATCAGAAGAGCTATTACTGTAAAAATCACTGTGAAATTAAAAGGGATAGAAATCAGCCATTTGTGTAGCAGGTTCTTTTCATGTCTCTGCATGGACTTGCCAATTATGGTTCTCTTTTTCTCAGCTGGAGATGTTAACCTGTGTTGCTTTTATCTCAGGATTCCTGCCCAGGTTTCTAAAGTGATTTGTGGTCATTTGAGATCTTCTTTCATTTTTGTCACTTGCTCCTGGGAGGAAAAGTGGCACTGATGGGAAATGTTTTGCTATCTATAGACTGTCTCAGTGTTATGTCTCCTGTGGTTAATATACAGGAGGCAGCATACTGTCTATTTACTTTACTTTTAGACCACCCGTCTCTCAGTCTGGGTTTCTCACCACCAATTTGCTGCTGAGAATTTTTGTCTGACTTCTTTTATTGATCACTAGGGTCTTGTCTAGTCCTTTCTTTTGATGCATGCCTTAGGGTCCTGGATACTGAACGTTTCATTTAATGTAGCTGGGTGGGAATGTGGATCTTATATATAGGATCCAGAACATGGAGTGAGGCTGGGGACTTGATGCGCGCCTGTATCTTATACATTATAGGGGCAGGAAGCAGCTAGGAGCAACTGTTTGCAACAGGGAATTGGGACTTGCTCTTGGGTACAGGATATTGCTACGCTTTCTCTGTCTTCAGTTATCCACCTAAGATTGCTACATTTATCACAGTTATATTAGCTCATAATTTTGGCTTTAGTCAGATTTTTACTGCATTATAGGAGAGGATCTGATAAACTGCAAAGTAAAAACAAACACTGAGCTCCTTTTGAAATGCTCAGACTGAACTCTATTAATCTCTCGATAGAGGGCATTCAGCTCGAGAAATAAAGTTGTGAAGCACTTGGCTAAAATTCTCTCAACTTCTGTAAATTTTACTTGATTCAACCCTGACTCACTGATAACATCCTAGAGTTTATAGTAACAATAATAGAAGTGATATCTGATCCTCTTGAAGCCAGCAGAGAACCCTTTATCCAAGATTTCATACTAGACACCTCATTGTGGCTACTGTGTCCCAAAAATGTGTCATCCTCTGGCATCTTCAGTGGAGCAGGAAGTGCCATGGGGAATTTCTCAGACTGTAAGGCACATGCGGAGCAGTCTTCCTCTGAAATACCTAAAGAGAATGGGCAGTTGCCTAGCATTGACTCTGCATGATGACAATCCAAATTTGTCATGAGAAGGATTTTTTGGGAAAGGGTCTTGTTAAACCTAGGCACTAGAATGTCTGTTCCCTCCTGGGTGAGAACAATTGGTGGGACAGAGCTAGAGAACAGAGGTATGTTCTGCCCATCTAGATGTGCTTTACAATGAAATGAAGTGGGAACAAGGCTTGCCCTCTCCTGAAATTGGCACCTTAGGCACTGTTATGAGCTTGTCAGTGAGCTCAGTAAGAACAATGCCTTCTCTGAAGGAATGACAGTAGTGTGTTTGGATTTATTTTCCCCACCTGTAGATTTTTGGGCTCAGCTCAAAACACCTTATTTTTCTGCTTTATGCAAGCTACCAGACTGTGAGCTAGATCAGCAGAGATGCAGATGGTGCCCCCTGGTCTGATTCTACAGGTGTGGTAGCCTCTGGAAAAAGGCAGGGCAGGACATTGTGACAGCCACTGTGTGTTGCCACAACTGAATCTGCCAAAGCTGTTAAGGGAGTGAGGAATCTGGCTTCAGACAAGGAATCTGATTTAATTCTTGCATTGTTTCCACGTCTGTGTAATCTTCTCATCTCCTATAGCGGTGCGCAGGAGAACAGAAAGCCACTCTCGGTGTTGGGACCTGACCTGTGTGATCTCTGGCTTGTGCTTCTTAAGCTGTGAATTCCTCCTGAATGAATGTACCTCCCACCTTTCTGTGTGTGGCAAATCAAAATAAGTGGCACAAGCTCTAAACAAATGCATTTTATTAGCTAGGCCAGTGGTGCATAGTACGAAGCAATGCCTGACTGACATGTGCCCAGCAGACAAATTTCATCATGATTTGAATTGACTCAAAACTATAGCCTGTGCCTTTGGTCAAGGCATCTCATGCTAACTGAGACTGTTAAGGGAACAGAATTAACTTATACAATGAATTATTACTGAAATAAAGGTAATACCAAAGCTTGTATTCAATATCTAATTAAATATTTTCCTAATGCAGTATACCCATTTATAATATGTGAAGCCTGACTTTAGTCTTCTGGGAGTGGGCCAGTAAAGAATAGCATTACAAATATTTATTTACTTCTCTTGTCCCTCACTGGCTTTATTTTAATGGGTGTGCAAAACCGCATGAAAGCTACAGGGGAGAAAAAGCCCCCTGGGAAACCCTTTGTATCAGGATGAATTGGAAAAACAAACTCTAGGGTGCTCATTTGCCATGAATCGCTTTTCACATCACGTGCGGAAAATGAATGAGGCGTCTGTGAATCTAATTCCCTTTGTCCCAGTTGTAAAGCAGATCAGCACAATAGGAGAGGCACAAGGCCAGCAAAGCAGGAGGTGGAAAGCAGGCACCATTCAGTGAATTCATTTTCAGTCATTCCAGTGCCGCTTGCTCCATTTCTCTACAGATTTAAAGAACAAACAAAACCCTATGGTTCCTGGGAAATGCCTCTGTTAAGTGCTGCTGCCGAAGTCTCGCTAACCGCGGTGGCAACGGTGCAGAACACGAATCCCTCCCACTGTCACGCTGGGTCCCTTGCTACTCCAAGTGGGAGGACAGAAAGCACATCACCACAGCCTTGCCGCAGTGTGTTGAAGAGTCTGTGTCCCAGGGGTAAAAAAGATAAAGATTTAGGGTCTTCCATTCTGCCTGGCTTATAAGCGCCTCTCACTGCATTAAGAAAAACTTTCTTGCCCAGCTAAAAGGAAAATGGAAATTAAAAAAATCTCACCACAGCTTTTGTAATATATTTCCAAGTTGTCCTCTTTGCAGACTGTGTGCGTAGGCCATTCAGTGCTGGCATTGATGTAAAGCAGGACTAAGATGAGAACAAGAGTATTTGATGTCTTCATGATGGTGGTGGTGGTGGTAGTTTGCAGGATTACTTCTCTGTTTCTTGTGAACCCTCTGTGGAAGGAGTTATTCCTTTCTCCAAGGGAGATGGGAGTTAACCAGATTCATGCCTGTAGAAGGGTTAAGTGAGCCAATGCAGCCTTAGCTTACCACAATGTGGTATAAACAAGAGGCTAATCAAAACTGGAGGGTGCTATTTCCGTGTGCTTTAGACTTCTGCTTTCTGCTTCATGTTAGTTTAGACTAATGACAAATGAGCTAATCACACCTACTCGCTGCCCAGCATAGCCCTGCTTCAGTGCCTGCTGGAACAATGCAGCAAACTGTTTAGTTTTTCTCTCGCTGTCAGTTTCTTCACTTGAAGTCAAAGCATTTGGGTCAAGACTTCAGAAAGGCTTATTTAGCCCTTCCGGCAGCAAAACATTGTGATCCAAATCACCCCATCTTAATCACACACAGTCAGACCAAATTTTGCAAGGTGGACAGTTTGGTTTCTATGTTCTTCTTAGTAACAAATCTATCTGCTAGAGGGAAGTGTGTCTGGTGAAGCTGACACCAAATAAACATGCCTTGAAACTTTTAGGAATGAATCCTTTCTACTTGACTATGCTAAATCCTGTATTTATGTTCATTTTGTTCAATGGTTTTAAAGAATGTACTATGTAACAGTATACCCTATCAGGTAAACATAGACTTTTTTTTTCTTTCTGCCTTTCTAGTTATTTAACTGCCCACTAGCGATACTGTGCATTTCTTATTTGCACTAGATTTTTTTGTTTAAGGCTGTGCTTTATGTAAAAATTAGTGGTTGTTGCAGATAACAGGGAATGATCAGTAAGGAAAGGAGTGAGTGTTTCTGCATCTCCAGTAAACTTCTCCCAATTCAGTTTAAGATCCAGGATTGGAATAGAATTTCAAACTGCAGTTGCCAAAAAAGGTCTTTTCTGGACAGAGCACCAACTGGAAAAAAGCTATAAGCTAAATTCAACCCTAAAGCAAATGTCTGCAATAGTCTTTTCTGAGCTGGAGACAAGGAGAAATTGGCTCTGTAGCATGACAGAGTTGGATAAAAGATCATTTTGGCCATCTCAGTCTTTCTTGCTCTGAAAGCTCCGAGATATCATTTGCTCTGCCACTGAGTAAAGTTGAAGAGGGAAAAGCCTATGTACTTTGGTGAGCAGGAGAGCACCTAACAAAATAATTAGGAAATAATGCTGAACAATAGAGCTGTTCCTCAGGCAAAATCCTAGCCTGAATGAAGGTAGTAAAAGTAATCCCATAGATTAAAGAGGGAGCCAAGATTTCAGCCATGATGTATTAAATTTAAAAGCCAATTCAATGCAATCCAAGAAACCTTGCTTTGAATAATGAGGCTCAGGCCTGCTTCATGTTTTTGGGTATTATCATAATGGTAAGTATTACATCCAGGGCAGGGTGAGAATCCAGGCAACTGTCTTTAGGCATGGAACATGTATGAGTCATGGAAAGAGATCTGGGTTGTAGATCTGTCTGGTTTGACTGGACTTTAGTTGTACCTACCTGATGAAAGTGAGCTGATGAAAGTGAGAGCAATTGCAAAGGGAATAGTAAGGGAAGACAATGTTTGGGATTACTGTAATACTTTTAAACTAGAATCTCATAAAGTGAAAGTCCATTCCCACTGAGGTCTACAAATACAGCAAAAATCAGAAATAGCAATTTATTACACAATGCAAAGTACTTTAGATCAGGACTTTTTTTTTTTTTTTTTTTTTTTTTTTTTTTTTGGAATGACATCATCATGGTCCTCAATTTAAAATGTCACCTTAATGCTCAATAACAATGAACAAAGCAAATCAAATGATAGGGCAAATGCTTCAAAGAGAGATCCACTGGGATTCACTAAATAAACCAAATCAGCCTCTCAACCTCTCCTCAGATGCCAATCATTGGAAAATGGGAAAATATGTGGGGGGAATACCAGCATGCTTGCCCTGCTTTTACTCTTCTCTGTATTCTTGCTTGTCCACACTGCTGGACACAGATTACTGGATTAAACGGAGCCTCACTCTGAACTAGAATGGGTTACCTGGACACTGGGCTTGTTCTTTACCTCCCTTTCCCTCTGCCCACTCCATCCTGTTGGAACAGTGTTGCAGGTGCTTGCAGCTTTCGAAGTGCTGACTCGAAGTGGTCTTTCATCTTTGTAGAAGCCCTGTGGCAGCTGCTCTGCAGATATCCAGGAGTCTAGGCCTTGCCGTGCAGAGATTTCAGTTTAAGCACAAGCAGACAGCCCAGTGAAGTGGGACAAGGCTAGATTTTGGGGATACAAGTCTTCCTACTTCACTGAAAACAGGATGGCTGGGGTAGATCTCCTAGCGGAAATGAAATATGACTTTGTAGATGAGCTCAGGAGCTCTGCTGTACACAGGCAAGTGCCTGCACCATTTCCCCGTCTGGTGCATAGAATGTTTCTTGCTCTTTTGAGACAGCTACTTCATCCTTTTTTTTGGCAGTGCTCCTGACACTGACTCAAAATGACAAGTCACAAGATTTTTTTGTGGGTGCGAGGTTGGAATGTATGTCTCAAGTAGTTTTTGGGTAGCCAATGTTCTGAGGGGAAACAGCCACGATAGCTAATGTTTTGGAAAGCTGTGCTGTCACTTCCACTTTGCCCCACCATGTTGTTCTCAGTGGGAAGGGAATTTTACTTAGAGTGGTTCAAGTTTACAACGTGTACTCCAGACACTGTTTCGCCATTTCATTCCCTGTGTAATCCTTGTATCTCCTAGAAAGAGCTTTATTACCAACTCCATCTGTTCTGAGAACTGCTTTCCCTTCAAACAGCCGAAGCCTGTGGGATGAGAAACTACATCTAAACGAAGTGGTATCAGTGCTGGCAGTGGGAATTCTGTTTTGGCAGGTTGTTTAGCTGGCCAACAAGCGTGTTTCTTTATCTGCCTGATCGAAGGCTTTGACCATGGAGATAAGCAGCTAAAAAATGCCTGTAAAGAAAGCTATTTACTTAAAGAGGGGCAGTGGCTTCATGTATCTAGAGCACTCTTCACCTTGTTTGGATGCTTGTGCAGTATTAGAGAGTGAAAAACCTGTTGTTTATCAAGAAGATTACTATATCTGTAATATAATTGGGAAGAGTAAAAGATATAAGGCTAGCAGACTAGTAAGCAGACAAAGTTTACATCAATATCTGTAACTTCTTGGGTTGGCTGATAGAAGGCGGCTGATACAACTGTATCAGCAAATTATACACCACTCTCCCCAGGTAGCTTATACCACTAGCCTTTAACACCTGCCACTAGTAGTACCAGTTTATTGCAGAAAGTATAGCAATAAAGAGGTCATTTTGGTTTGGTTTTGTGGCTTGTTCAGTTCTGATTTTTTTTTTTTAATTCCTTGTTACTTCAGAGTCCAATTCTCCCCTTTTAGAATGCAGTCAATGTTGTCATAACTGATTTAACAGACAGCAACATATATTTGATTAAACAACATACTATTAAGTGCCTAATTATAGATATACTATTAATAGATACAGTTGCCATTAATTTACAATTGTATCATTTTGCACAGTTATAACTAAATATAAAACTAATTCTCATTCTCAGATCTTATAAATCACACCCAACTATTTTATTATAATGGTGCCACCCTTCTCACCCACACCACTTGGTGCCAGAGTGCGATCCTGTCCCTCTTTACTCGTCCCTAATCTTTCAGGCACAGACCTGATGGAGAGAGTCATACGGGTTGTCTGCAGGGCTTCCCTTCAGTGTCCTGGTGGGCTTGGGTGCACAGGTAGCTTCAGTGCTGTTTTTAGGTGCCTGTACCTCTACTGTCAGAAGATCCCACCCTCTTTTTTTCTTTATCTGATATTATGTCTTATTCCTCCTTGTTTCTGTTTCAGGATCCATCCTCTTTGTCCTTCCTTTACCAGCTCCCTTTCTTTACCCCAACTCTCTGGAACCAAGCAATACGCCTCTTTCCACCTCCTCCCACCTCCCTAGTTCTGCTACATCTGTACTCAGATTTGATCTTTCTAGCACCTTTAGTCAGGCTGTGGTGGCCTTACAGGATATTACTGATACAGTTGCAGAGGCACAGGCAGCTTCCTAAGACTGCATTCTAAAAATCCTCTACAATTAACTGGTTCATACTGGCAATGCTTTTTTTGCCTTTTATTTCATACGCTTACTAAGGCAAATTATTCTACTTTAGCCTTGATTCCTCTACCCACCCTCAATTAATGCAAGTAGTTTCATATCTGAGGTGCAGACTGCATACCAGAGCAACAAAGCTATGTGGATTTTTTTATGCTCTGTTTTGCTCTCACACAGCATCCTTGCCCTTCAATTGTTTTAATTAATCTCTGGGTTCCCTGCAGAGGTTTAGCTAGTCATAAAGCCTGGTGCTCCAGCAGGGCCTCTTGCTTGTGTTCATATGACTGCACTTACACTATGACTTTTGCCAAAATAGTTCTGGGTATGTTGTTTTTCCTGTGCTCCTAGCCAATTTGCAAAAATTTTTCAATTGTAGACCTGGATAGTGCCTCACCTGATCTCAGCAACGGGGTTTCCTCTTAAGAGTTTCTTATATTTAGAGATTTTTTTTTTCTCTCTATTGTGCAAGTCCAGTATGGGTGAGTCCTAACCAAAGTTTAAGTTCTTTCAGGCCAAAATGCTTTTTTCTTGCTTTTGGCATCTTTGTGTACACTTGTATCATACAATGAAACATTTCCACAGAGAAAGCTTCACTGATTTTTCTTCCTTTGTCATGCAATTCCATCTCAACAAAAGCTTTCTGCTTCATATTTCACAGCGTGGGTCTCCTGCTAGTGAAAGACAGTGAGTGAAAATTTCTCAGCAAATAGATGAGACTTTTCAGAGGCGATACCTTCACTCTCCATAAAAGTCAACTTTTCCTACTGTGCTTGTAATAGTGTGTTTAATATTTTAATTAAAACCCAACAAGGCCTAGAAATGCAATGCAAGCTAATGTGCCGCCACCACCCATTTCTAGCTGCATCTGAGAGATGAGTTTTGTTTTCTGAGATCTTCACAGTGCTGGAGGTGTTTGAAGTGCTGCACTGTCAGCAGCATGCCTTATGGGGCTTAGGCACTCCATAAGCTCTGCAGGAGCAGAGACCAGTGGGGCCTCGATCCCCCAGGCTTTTCCCTTCCATGGGATGAGAAGGTTT